CTGTTTTTCATATGTTTTTGTTAAATTTTTTTTTATCTAAAATTAATATTTAAAACAACAATGCTAGCTATAGTTATTATGTCAAGTATGATATAACACAAACATTACATGTCATTAAAGGCATTAAATAATAAATACATATCAATGACATGTGTGTTTAAATTTAAAATAAAAAGAATCAACCATATAATAAACTATCATAATTATATGGTTATAGTATGATGTGATATTGTAAATGTATTATTTTTATATTTAAAAGCCAAAAAATTAAAATAAAATTACAATTAAAGTTGAATGGAAGAAGTATGCAATTTCCTCATGTATATATATATATATAAGTATACAATTTCCTCATGTGTATATATATATATATATAAGTATACAATTTCCACTATAAGAAGATTCACCTAACAATATTCTCTTCTTTTTTTTTTTTTCATTTTCTTACAAATAATTAATGGTGGAACATAAAAAAATGATAGTTTTACCCTTTCTCAGTCCCAAATTTCACTCCACGATTGACGATATAGTTTATTATTTACTAACAACCATTTTATTGACCTAGCAAAATAAAATCATTTTATTTTTATTTTTTTAATTTTAAATTACACAATAAAAAATAACTCTCTTTTATTCCTTAATTCATCTCACTCTTATATCATATAACTTAAATTTAAGATTATTTACTTTTATTAAAAATAAATTATTACTAAATTACTTAATTAATTCAAAATACAATCATTTCTATTGACATCTTCTGTTTCATTTGACATGTTATATTTTAGCAAGGATTTGATGTAAAATCAAAATCTTGAACATGGGAAAGAAAGAAAAAAATTGCGTTTGCCCCGGTTCCACTTCATGGAATTAAGTAAATAGACTGAGTGTTTAAAGGTTGTTGGGTTATTGACTCGCTTTCTTTTATATTTATTTATTTAAAAATTTTTATTTGAATTTAAGGTGAATTAAAGTTTTTTATTATTATTTTAATTTACAAAATAGAAGGTTATTATCTTTTATTCCTTAATTCATTTTATTTTATTTACGTTACTTAAATTCATTAAGATCTTTTATTTTTACAAGAATAAAATTATCATTGAATTATTTAAGTTATTGATAAAATCAATTAGTGTTCAAATCTTACTTTTTAATAAAAAGTACGAGGACTAAAGTATCAATTTTATGCGAGTTGAGAGATTATAGTTGGACGCAAGATAAAGGCCCTCAATTAAATTAACTGATACGTAGCTAAACACTTAATCATCGTGAGGATCAAAAAGGTCTACTATTTTAGAGCTAAAGGACCAAAAACACTACAGTCTTAATGTTGATGGACCGAAAGGGGGATTTAATCTCTTTTTATTAAATTCCAGCACAACATAAGCTTTCAGCCTTAATTGCTTAAGCTTGGGCTCAACTATATTTTCAAACCTAAAATTTTTTTTTAGTATTAACCTTCTGGTAGTCGGTAACCACATTGAATTCAAATTAATTCGGAATTGAACTACATTGGATCTCATTAGGGGAGAAGCTCTCCCAGCATCTGTTTCTCTATTCATAAGACTCAAACTCCAAACTTTATTTAAGGAGAACCGAACTCTTTCCATTTGAATTAACAAATCATTAGTATTTTTTTCTAATCTAAAATTGAACTCGAGTTCAAACTCATTGGTTAATCAAGCTTAAATCGAGTAATTCACACATGATTAGTTCAGCTCATTATCTATTCACAACCCCACCTACATAAACTTGAGCATATCGCCACCAATAAAGAGCTTAGTCCCATGCTTTAGAGTTTAAGAAACAAGGTTATTTACTTGATAAAATAGATTTAAATATTTAATTTTAACTTTAAATTAAAATTTTTAAATTAATAAATACTTTTAGATAAGTATTTTTTTCACAGTTATAAATTACACAAATTTATAAACACTTCAATAAATCATTTATGTAATTGTTTTATACATTAAATTTAACTCTAAAATTAAATTTATTAATAAATAAATATTACTGTACTGACAAACTAACCATAGTTTAGGATTTATATAGAATGAAATTTTGTATTCAGACCTTCTCTTACCATTTTGTTGTTATAATTCATGTTACTTCTTTTTCATTGGGCAACCGCCCCTTGTCCTATGCTGGCTTTGTCACTTATTGACAGATTGATTGGAAAATTTTGGGAAGACTTTTCAACTTATACGCATGGTACACATGACAGGAAGAGGCATAACTCCTTACCCTTTAATAAGAAGACTTAAGCCGACAACATTAAATGACTAGAAAAGTTTCCTGTCATGTGTATCATGTGTTTGCATGATACACATGACAGGAAGAGACATAAACCCTTACCCTTCGAATTCCACCGCAACGTTCCAACTGTCACGCGCCTTATTTGAGGGGAGAATGTTTATTTTGAAATCGAATATTTAATTATTAATAATTAATTATAATTAA